AGCAGGCAAGCCACAAATAGAAAGAGGTACTCCTGCAAAGAAAGGAAAATACTAAAACCATTTCGGAACATGTCATATAAAGTAATGCTGGGACCTATGCTGAGCATCCTAGCCTTCTGCTGAAGTGAAGGGATAAGAAAGCACAGAACAGAAAACATACTTTTTGTACAATAAATACTATGCAAATGTCTACAAGTGTATCTCAGCAAGTTTTGTTCCTGTCCCTCAGCTGAATTTATTTAAGAATAATCACTGTTCTATTGTCATCAGGGCAAATGAAAAGCTGAGGTTAAAAAAAAACCATGTCACATTTCTCTGTTGGTTTGTTTGTTAATCGAAAATGTGGTGAATTTATGTCAGTGCTGCTCCCTCTTCAGTGAAGCACTTGACAGAGGTCTGTGAGGCTTGTGATCCAACACCCACACAATGGCAAGTGCCCTCCTGCCTTCTCTACTCATCTACTCCTGGTTTTTACCCTGCCTTTTTTGCCACGGTTTAGGAAAGGATGTAAATCAGAAAATTCATAAATACTTAATAGCGCAAGCATCTGAAAATCATATTTATTACACACAACACACCATCTGTTTGGGAATATCAACTCAATTAATTAAGCTATTGTTTTCTTGTGAAATGAAAGCCTTCTTTTGTCACTAAACAGGATGTACCTATGATACATACCTTTTTATCTAAATTGTGAAGCTTAGCTGTCTCTACAGATGTCCTGTAGTATTACAGTAGTAGCAGCAGTAATAATAAACAACCAACAATCCTGCTGGACAGCAGAGGGGCATCTAGTCCGCTTCTGAGCAGACACCTACCTCCAAACCTTCCCAACCAGCTATCTACCTTCCCACCACACCTCGAAAACCCGGAACTCCAGCAAGATATTGACAAATTTGTTATTCAGGTCACTTATCACTTCAGTCGGTCGTAAGTGTTGAAGCAGATTATGTAAAAAATAAAAAATGGCAATTGCTCTTCCTCCTCTCTTCCTTCCCTCTTGCATAAATTGAGTAAGAATGAGAGAAAAGCTGTCGGCAGTGAAGTCACCGCAAATTCCCCCGTGGTTCCGTCACTCCTGAGTTCAGGAGCAACTGGCGCTGCCCCAGCCAGCCAAGAATTTCTCAGTGATTTCAGTGAAAGTCATGTAACCTCCATGTCTCATTTCCAGTGATAGAACTGATAATAATTGCCAACCCCTCTCGGGGAGTTCATGACAATACATTTGTCCTCCTTTGTAAGGAGTTCTCACATCAGATGGAAGGCGCTACAGATGCACGAAGCATGACTATTTATTTTTAATAAGACACAGCACACACAACCGATGGCAGCTTTGTTAATACGTATTTCATCACTGCGAGTGATATTTTCCTTCAGAGGGAACAAATCGTATATACTGATCTGCTCATATGGAAACATTAAGTCAGAGAGATTAGTTTTCTAATTCAGTTGCCACTTTATAAACTGAAAATTACTAAAACAGAAAACACAGCCAAAAAGCCAAATTGTGCACTTTTATGGTTCACAAAAAAAAACCCCAACCCAGTGAACATGAGACAAGGTATATTTTGTATGCAACAGCTCATTAATTTTAAGTGTCGTGGGAACCCTGCCAGTTTTACCCTCTGAGTAATTATCTTTTGTCTTAATTTGTAGGATTCTTGAAAGGGGGAAGAGAGAAATGGGAGAGAAAAAAATGTTCAGTCTCACAGGAAAAGCTTAAAAAGCTTAAAGCCTGAAAACACAATAAAAAGGGAGAGACGTAGATGCAAAACAGTCCTAGTCAAGCTGCTTCTAGTTAAACAGTAGATGGTATCAGTTTCTATAAAAATCAGTGTTTATTTCTTACAACACCTAGAATATTGTTATATCCGGCTAGATAGGTAAAAAAAAATTCTGCAATAAGTTCTGCAAAATTCATAAACATATTATGTGAACAAGTATCAAAACACTATTGCAAGCCAAGCATTTGGGGGGACCGGGGGGCACAGAGAGGGAATGTAATGTCACCTGGATTATGATTTTGATTCCATCTGAGTAAAAACTTAGAAGTTATTTAGACTTAGAGAGTAAAAACAGGATTAAACTCTGGCCCAAACAGCTAGTAATTCTAGTTCAGTGAAAAGATGAAATCACCAGGAAAGATGAAAAAGACCTTCAAGAAATCTTGTTGAAGAATAATTGATAATAAGATTGAAACACACGCTTCTCAAAGAAAACAGTAAACCCCACCAAAGCCCAAAACTCTGCATTAAATATTAGAGACCAAATCTGATTTAACAATAAAATGATTACTAATTCTTTTAAGTGTTCTTATGCAGCAAATTGCCTTCTCCTTCATGTCTGCCAGCTCTTCAATATTTCTGAGCCATTCAGAAAAGCAGAAAAGGTGTACCTTATGCTTTACTAAGCCCAGATGTAGACATACCCCAGTTACAATCTCCCATCCTAGAGATAACTCTGACATGCACCATATCCAATGTTCTGCTCCCTGTTATTTTTTTGCCTTGTGAAAGAGTAGTCAATAAAGGTTTCATCCTTGAAGCACTAATTTCATTAAAAATCAGAAAGACAGAAAAAAAGCCCAACCCACATGAGTGGCAAAACTCACATTATTAAAGCAGAAATATTTTGTAATCTTGAATTATGATTATTTGAATTATGATTATGCTACCTTAATCAGCTCTATATTTCCAGAACAGCCTTTAGCTAAAGGTAAGAGCACTACCAACAAATAATTAAAAGTGCAAGTAAATTATTAGTGTTCAGACACTTCAAATAGAATAAATGGATATCCTTTTATCCGTATCTGTCTGAATGCTCATTCTCAAAATGCCACGTCCTCCAAAGCAATTATTATTATTATTAAGCTGAAACAATAAGAGTCCCAGAGTGAAATACTTGTGGGCCTTTTGGTTAGCAGTGATGATCAAATGCAAAGAAACTGAACCACTACATTCAAAACTTGCAAGCACTGGGCGTTTTTAAACCACTGATATAATTTATGGCAACAGAGCAAAACCTTATGGCAGGCGCGATCCCCACAGATGCATCACAGTGCTCTCTGCATCGGGGGAACTGGACCCTGGGCACCAATATTCACCCAGGATCCCATACAGGGACTTTGGGGTACCTCATTTGAAACTGTGATAAAGAATCCCTAGGCAAACCGATGCAAACTGTGCAAATTGTGCATGTACTAGGTGCAGCCATAATAATGGCTAACAAAATGTTTGATGAAGTAAAGCCATAGGTGCACTCAACTACCACAGAGTAACTAAGCATTTAGTACAGGAATTGACACTAAAGTGAGCTATCAAAATTTATTGTTTTCACCAATTTTCTGAAGTATTCCTACAAATGAATTTGCACGCAAATATTTTATAGGATACATCCAGCCAGCCATTCAGAAGCCAATTTATAACACGTACAATAATCAGGCTTTCACCGTGTAAGCAGCAGAATTACTGGGCTGGGTTCGGCCAACAGCTGACTCCACGGGCAAAGCTTTCTCTCCCGAGGCTTCCTGGAGTTCAGTCCTGCACCAGGTACACTTTATACTCGAGATACCGGGGGACTCTGTTGCAGAGACAACAGAGTACTGATGTATGAACCCTTTTGTTTTATACCAGTGTCTGGAAGATAAATGCGTGGACCATACATGCACACATACGCCACATGTTGCAGAGCTCGTGCTGCGTAAAGCAAGTGATTGCACATTCATAAAACTATCCAAAACAAAGAGGGAAGATAAGAGTGAAAGGGAGAAGTTTTGTTTTTAGAAGGAAATAAGGGAGCCTTGCCAATGTTGTGAACCCGAGCCAGCTATTCCAATGCAAACCTCATGTTGTTACATAGATCATGTTTGGGAAGAGATGTAATATTAATCAACTTTCTGGCATTAAGTATCCGTTACTGTACAAAAACATTCTTGTTCTGGCTTTAATTCAGTTTTAAGTCACTGTGAAAACATTTATGTGGCTCTCAAACTGCCTTAAAGGACCCAGGCAATAATTCTTTTCCCCTCCCAGAGGAACTAAAACAATGATCCATTTCCATAAAACAGAGCATTTTAATACTGCCGATTGTTTTCCTTAAGTGTTGGGTATGTTCAGACTTCTATAAACCATTTCCAGAGATAGAAGCTGTCTTCTGAAGCCCTCCAACACCATCTACCTACTTGGGGTCAGTGGCAAAGGCACACTTCTGGAGAAAAGGACACCACGACATCATATGAAAACGTGTGGAACCACTGTTTCCGCCCTTCTCCAACCCTCACCCAAATCTATGCAATTTGTCAGTGGACAACTCTGCAACAAAATTTCCACAGCTACAGAAGACAAACAGGAGAACCGTGGCAGATAACACTGAATTTCTTTTTGACGCTATCAATAAAAAAGCTCAAAACCCTACACGTACAGGAATATATTGGGCCACTGTTATTGGTATGAGACACCATGTCACCGTTTGCAAAAATTCAATACCAAGTGTCTCGTCTTAGCACAAATT